ACCTCTCCCCCTTCTCTTTCTCAACTTAAATTGATTTACTTTCCATTTTCTATATTTTACTTAGAAAAAGAGAGGTCAATTTTAACCAAATAGAACCTAGAGTCATAATCAACAGCTAAAGATTTTACTTATTTAATTGCCTAGGTTTTCTAAAGCTATAATTTAAGGCAAAAATTCTCTCCGAGAAAACATTAGACACACTAAACACCTTGAAGTTTTTTTACTCTATGAAATCCACTTCCTGCATCCACTGGAAATGGATGAGAAAGTACCAGTGTACCATGACCAACATTGCTTTCTTTATTTTCCAGAGTGCAACTAGCAACAATTCCACTGTGGCTTGCATTAATAGAAATGGGGTATGTATGGACATGGTATAAACCAGAACCAAATAAGCTACACAGGGAAAGTGCCCATCTTAGCCCACATCGGACTGACTTTCCTTCTTGCACATCCTTTTCCACACCATGGTTTCTCTGACTGGAATCCCAAGACCAACAATTAGTGATCATTTATTACAGGACCTATAGTTCACAGGCAGCATCAGCATCAGCATCACCTGGCAGCTGTTAGACATGAAGAAGTTCAGGTCTCCACCAAACCTACTAGCAGGATCTGTGGGGGATCCTACCTTCTATGATTTCTAGCCTTCCACATCACACCGACAATGATGATGTACAGTGCTTCAGTTGCTGCCTGCGATGTGCTGTCAGGAGCCGCTACATCACTAATTCAATTTTAACTAACGTGAAATAAAATATAAAATTCAGTTCCTTAAGCATTTCAAGTGCTCAGTAGCCACATGTGGCATACGACTGCGTTATGATGGAACACAGATTTCGAGGCATCCGCATCCCTGCAGGAAGTCCTGTTAGGTGTACTGATCAGGACATTGCTTGTCTGTAGCTCACTGGTGCAGGAGTCACCTTGGAGCTTGTCAGAAATCGACTTTCCCAGACTCCATTGGCTCTGTTTTTCTTGTTTGTTTTTGCAGCAGAATCTGACTATGTGGCCCAGCTGGCCTTGAACTCATGTCCCCTGTGTCTCAGTCTCTAGAGTTCTGAAATCACAAGCGTGTGCCACCATACACAGCTAGAATCTGCATTTTAATAAACAGGTGAAGTTATGTTACAGCAAAAGCTGAGTGATCCCCACTGGAGTAACCTTGCCTCTCTCGCCCACAGAGCTGCCGTATCAGAGAAGACATCTTTTTGCAGAGGTACAGCTCCGACCCCACCGGTGTTCTAACAGAGGACAACTTAGATGACACATTCCTGCCTGTACCTGGTGAGTAGCTTGCTCAGGAAGCAATCATCGGGCCTTGGCATCTACTGCCATTTTCTCAGGCACAAGTCAGTTGTGGCATCCAGTGTGCATGAATCAGGAACGCCGCATCCAGAAGTGGAGACTGGCATATTTATAGACAAGATGAGGGGAATAAAAAGCTAAAACAGAGAGAACTTAACATGCTTCGAGGCCTGTGACAAATACACGTTACAGTTGGGTTTTCTGCAGATTTGTTTTGGCTTAAAAGCAAGTGGCAAAAGTGTCCATGTATATATGTAGTGTGTGTGTGTGTGTGTGTGTGTGTGTGTGTGTGTGTGTGTGTGTATAAAAGATGGATACATATGTCTCCGGTCCCTTACACACACACACACACACACACCACATCACCCTTTAAACGTGCAAAAATCCACCTATGCCCATTGCTTTGAGAAGTACAGAAAATATCACAGGTTATTTGGTAGTCTCCATGGTACTACCAGAACTTCTTTGCTCTTGGATGTAAGTTATCTCACTGAGGACATTTGTAGGGTTTGCAGTGGGCCATGGAATTTTGCTTCAGAATCTTGGGGTGAAGCTTTACTAATTCACATGTGTGTTCTTCTTCATTTCAGAATATATAAACCAATCTGTTCCCAAGAGGCCAGCAGGCTCTGTGCAGAACCCTGTCTATCACAATCAGCCTCTGCATCCAGCTCCTGGAAGAGACCTGCATTATCAAAATCCCCACAGCAATGCGGTGGGTAACCCTGAGTATCTCAACACTGCCCAACCTACCTGTCTCAGTAGTGGGTTTAATAGCCCTGCCCTCTGGATCCAGAAAGGTAGCCACCAAATGAGTCTGGACAACCCTGACTATCAGCAGGACTTTTTCCCCAAGGAAGCCAAGCCAAATGGCATCTTTAAGGGCCCCGCAGCTGAAAATGCAGAGTACCTACGGGTGGCACCTCCAAGCAGTGAGTTTATCGGAGCATGACATGAAGGGGCATCATACCTGCTATAAAACGTCTGGACTTTCCAGAAGCACAGGACCAAGCCATGGCAGCACCTTCACTCCTGACAGCCATGCCCACTTTGTGTCAAATGTCAAACCCTCAGACTGGTTTTAAAGCATAACTCTGATGGGCTTTGTCACTGAGCCAAGAAGTGGGCCCCTCCCCTGATGCACTTTGGGAAGTTGAAGGTACATCTATTGATCTTCAAACTGTGAAGATTCTACAAAAAGGTTTCCTCATGGTGAGGTACATAGGGGAAAAAAAAAACTTGAGGGTTTCCTCAAGTTTGCCTCATGGTGAGGTACATAGGGGAAAAAAAAAACAACATATGGAGTTTATTGCATAGGGAACTTTGGGATTCTTGTTGTCTTTATTGATTTGAATAATAAGCTCTTCCAAGAAGGGAGACGCTTGCTTGTAGTCTCTGTTACACAGAGTTGCCTAGAGCCAACTGACCAGATAGTTGGTTCCACCATCCCGGCATCAAGACACTTCCGTGGCGAGACAACTAACAAGAAGTCCTGGGTGCCCTGAGCAGGCCACACTTGTACAGCATTAAACCATGGCAGGTACAATAGGATAAGCCACTTTGTTACTTACTGGGGCTGGGAGAAGAATAATGGAGTAGAATTTTCCCTCAAACTTACTTTTTGTATAAATATGTCCCTGGCACTTAACACATGCTAGTTTACCAGTGTTTTCTGACTATTAGACCTCCTTCTGTGTTTTCTGTTTCATTGTTTTGAGATGTAAATATGCTTTCCTGTCTTCATTTCATGAAGTAAACAGACATCAAAAATCCCAGTATTATGTAATATCAAAGAACAATAATGATTCCACATTTGAACCCATTCGAGCCATCAGTACTGTAACCAAAAGCCTTTAACTAAGAAGGAGTAATCTTGCAAAAATTCATAGAGGAATTAAACCCAAAATTTTAGTCTCAGCATTGTGTCTGCTGAGGCGTGTGTACAAGACTACAGAAGTGAAGCTGCTCTTCAAATCCACTTTGCCTTTACCCCTCTACACCCTAAAACTAGTGTAAATCACACATGGAGGATAAATCTTTTTAATTTTAAGAGTGTTTACTGAAAATATGTTTTACTCCCTGGTAAGCTGCCACCAAACATTTTCTTTCCCATTTAGAAAAATGACCTAGGAGTCTGTGTAATAAGTGGCAGCCCGTGGTAGGCTTGGTGTGCAGAGTCCAAGAAAGGAGATGTTAAGAACAGAGTGGAATTCAGTATCTGTTTCAAAGTGGCATGATGACAGTGTTCCCAAGGATGCTTGTGGGGGACGGGGGAGTGCTCCCATGGATACTTGCAGGGGGGAGGGGATTCAACACCAAGTGCTCTCACAATCATCAATGCATCCGGGTACCCAAGATCTCCTTACAGCCCAATCAGTTAATAGTCATCTTTGAAAACCAATATTGTAATGATCTTAGGATCCATCCCCTCCCATAACATAAACCCTAACCATAAACACTAACCATAAGGCAAAATGATGAGTGTCAGATAAGACATATCAGCCAAGCACCAAGAGCACAGAGAAGTGCATTCTGTTGGAGAGATCTAGAAAGTTCACAAAGGAGACAAGATTGCCCACTATCTTCTAAGATCTAAAGGTCATAAACATCAGGGAAATGGAAAGTGCGTTTTCTTAGAGCAGTGGTCCTCAACCTTCCTAATGCTATGATCCTGTCATACAGTGTCTCATGTTGTGGTGACCACTCAACCATAAAATTATTTCTGTTGTTACTTCATAACTGTAATTTTACTACTCTTACAACTTGCAATGTAAATATCTGATAAGCTATCCGATATGCAGGCTATCTGACAGGGTTACAACCCACAGGTTGAGACTCACTGCCCACAAGGCTTCAACCAAGAGAGCAGTGGCCAGGGGACTTAACTAGAGGTCAGGGGCAAGGCCAAGTCAATCATTGCTTGCTGATCCCTCAGGCCTGGGAATGAGGCTTGCAGCATCTTCTGAGTGTCCTTACTGTTATCCATTCTTGTCTGTCATCTACGAAAATAGATGTCATCTATGAAATTAGGTAGTGAGGAGATTAAGCAGCATTCATAGAGTTTGAAATTCCATGCCATCGCCAGGAAATGCCATATTGATCACAGAGAACACAGAAGAAACATTTAGGTAGGATTTTGCTCAAACTTGGGATATAGAATGAGCCTGTCAGGTACCTATCAGGAGCAGGTAACTGGTGAGAGAGAGCCTTTGCAAGCCAAACTGTAGCAATGAAACCCTAGTATTTTTGTACTTTGAAATACTTTCTTGTAACAAAATAAAGTAGTAAAAACTATTCAAGCTTGCTTTTCTTCTTGAATTTAACTATTTAGCATAAAGTTTCATTGTTGTCAGGGTTAAGAAGGTGTTGGCCAGTGTGTCCTCACTGTGTCTGTGCAGGGAGATACAGGGCTGCGAGCACGGCAAAGCAGACCCTTTTCCAGTGGTTCTCAACCTTCCTAATGCAGTTCCTAATACAGTTCCCCATGTTGTGGTGACCCAAATCTATAAAATTATTCTGTTGATACTTTATAGTTGTAATTTTCCTACTGTGAGGGATTGTAATATAAATATCTGATATGTGACTCCTGCAGGGGTCGAGATCCACAGGTTGAGAACCAGTGTTTCAAAGATACCTTAGCAGCCACTGGAGTAAGAGCGGAGGCGCCATGCTGGGATCAGCATCCCATTACATCCCTGGCAGTCTTAGCTCAGCTTAACTCTTCCACAGTTAACCAGTCTCATATACCTCCCAAGGCATCTTTCTATTAATTGTCTCTCAGTCCAACCTTAGATAAACTTTTTCTATGTCTTGACCCCACTCTGGCTCTTGGGCAGTTCATGGGAAAATAAATATATGGAGCTACCATTTATTTACATGGGCACAAACATATATATGATCTACAAAGAGCTCCTATCATTATACCCTATGAAAATTACTTTTTTACCTCATGATGAGAAACGATAATCTCTTAAATGCTAAATCTGCTGTGAGTCCCTGCTGCCCTGGGAAAGCACAAAATTGCATTCCAGCCGATGATAACACAGTTTAGGCGTTTGTTGGACATTCTTTTTGTTTTTTGATTTAGCATCCCACTCATTCCCCAAACGGTAGACATAAAAGAACCTGGACTGCATAAGCACTGAAGCACTGAGTCTTGGGCTGGGCTACCATAAGAAGTTCCCAGCTAGTACAGTTTCAACCTGATTCTTCTTAAGCCCATGGACTTTTCAGAGTACCTCCAGGATATTGCAATACACATCAAAGCTTCAAGAGCCACTGTAAAAGGCTTGATAAGGGGATTGTTGGCACTCACCAGCGGTTGCCCATCTGCAGTTCTTTTTTATTGGTCCTTTGGTTGCACTTGTATAAGACAAAGCTGGTACATGAAGATCATGTACCTGCATCTACCCTCACTGCAAATGAGAAGTACCTGGAGAGCTTACAAAGGCTTCCCCAGCCCCTGCAGTCTCAAGCAGTCAGAATCCCAGAGGGGCACCCCACCTTTGATCCTAATCCTCATCTGTGTCACCTTCATCCATGGTACAGGCCTGCTACTCCACTCTGCCCAAAGTCAGAGTAGAATAAAACCCCTGGTTAGTTAGGGACAGGCTCCCTGACTCTCTGAAAGCATAATTTGCAGTCACCACTCTGCCTATGAGTTGTCTACAAGTGTAGCCTTTCCAAAATCCTCCTCATTTTTTTTCCAACAAACCCTTTATCTTGAAAATGGCAAATATCTAAATCTGGGCCTTGCTAAAGTTCTGGGACATCTTGCTAAAGTCTTCGGACATTTTGTGTTATCTACGAAACATGTCATAAAAACCCACTACTTCCCACCTCCCCACAGTGAGTGAGCTGTTCCCACTTAAGAAGCAGAAGTTAAAGTTATGCCTAATCTCTACTTTCTTTTGATAAGCTTGTGTTTGTATTAAAGCATAATGATCTGTTTACATTTCCCTGCTTGGGGGCTGTAAAACCATAACTGAGCTGAAATCCCTCACTCTTTTTCCCAGCCACACCTACCATTCCAGAGACAAAAATCTTGGTACTGTTAAAGCCACATGTAGACAGAAATTGTAAATGTAAATGTATTTTTGTAACTGTGTTAGTATATTGTCCTCTTATGTATCACTGAACTTTGTAAAGTATATTTTTTTAGGAAACTCATTTTTTTTTCTAAAGAAAACTGTCTGCTTTGGAAAAACTGCAATAGAATCAAATTTGAAATTGAAATCTTTCCTTAAAAAATGATTCAACTGAGGTGGGGGGAAGTCTCTTTTCTCTTAGGTGAATGTGCGACCTTATTACAGAGCTAAGCTAGGTAGTCATTGCCACAGTGAATGAGATGAGAGCCTTTTTTGTACCATTGCAGGCAGATAAGGATGAAAGATACATGAGTTCAGTGCTAGTCTGAGAAGAAGCTGGATTCCGGGGCAATGTCAGCAATGCTGACTGCTCATAACTACTAAAAGAATTTAAATGAGTGTCATTCTCTGATCATCTGCCAATATGACCTTGGAAATTCAATATTCAATAGTACAACACTTTGTTGGTTTATGTATGCTAATGAGACATTAACACCAATTATTTTGTTCTGATAGTTACAATGTCATTCACTTACTAATGTGTCCTAGAAATATCTGGAAAGCCACAATAATATTTATGCTTGTTTGGGTTACTCAATATATTCCTGAAATCTATCACATGCAAACACAGTCACTCTAGACAAGCCTTTGTCAGTCACACATGCATCGTGAAAACACCTGGGTTGGTTTTGCAACTCTTGAAATCCAGCCATACCCGAGAACAATCAAATATGAGTCTCCATAGGGTAAAACTAGAAAATTTTTACTTTTTAAAAGTCCTACGATCCTTCTCATGTGGATAGTCATACACGATTTTTTAACCCTGTTTAGGATTTTAAAAAGTCAAGCTCAAGAATTAACCCTAGACTCATGGGTGACTCTGTAGATGTGGATGGCATCCAGTCCCAGAGAATCCTAAGTCTGCTTATCAGAATCATTCTGGGGAGTGGGGGTGTCAGGAAACTGGCCAAAATTCCCATGGCAGCTACCTGGGCATTTCAAGTGTCTAGCCAATGGTCAAGAAGCTAAAGAAGTGAAACACAGCCATCCCCAGCGTCATTTTTGTGTTATGTAAGCAAGCTCTATTAAGAATGAGTAGCAGAGACATAAAGGTTTTATGCTGCTTATGCCTCCAACTTGGTTGGCAATCCAACAACCTGTGCCAGCTCATAAACCTCCAACTCCCAGAAAGAAATCCTTGACCTATTATTTTGGCTGCAATGAGCAGAATACTAACTACTTATGTGGCTTTTGTAAGAATAAAACTCCAAGAAGAGGACTCTTGCATTAAGAAACACATGCGCACACACATATGTACACATACCTGCACCTGCTCTTGCATACATATGTTCACAGACTCATACACACACACACGCACACACTATACTGGGATAAAACACTGAAGCAGCTAATCCAGATTTTTCTGCCATATATATAAGCACAGTGATCTTCCTGTCTTGTCTGAAATAGCAAAATTACTAGGAGTCATTACCTCACACCAGCAGAAAAATACAAGAAAGGATTTGAGTTTATACATCTTACATGCACTTTGTATTTGGAAAATGTAATGCTGTACTCTCTTGATTTGGATACAAAGTGTTGTTACTGTGTAATACAATGGTGTAGAAATGACGACACCCCAGTATATAACTGTTTCTAGATGTGATGACATGACTAACCACAGACAGCAGTAATCTCATGTTAGTTTCGTTCACGCAATACCTTTACAGCTTCTTATATGGTACATTTTAACTTTGTAAAGTCATACAATTATGAAAGCAATACTGTACAAATGCAAAGCAAGATCTCTTTTACATACCGTTGATTAGAATGTGTTGATTGTACATTAAGTATTAAAAACTAGATGTACGTTCTTCATTGCTTGCTACTCCTAAGAACTTAATGATTTTTGCATTCTTTGTTAACAGTGCAGTGTTCTCTCTGTTATTGTTCATATCTGACTATAGACACTCTTGCTTGACATTTTCTTGTTTTCAAATTTATTTTGACTTAACTTGCTGATTTTGTGGTGCTGTGTGGACCAATGAGCTGTATTCCCCACCCCAACTGAAAACAGTTTTAAAAAAATTAATAAACCTTATTTTCAGAGATTTGGAATCATAGCAAAATAGAAAAGAAAGCACAGGAAAGCCCCATGTGCTTCCTGCCCCACACTTGTGGCCTCTCCATCACACCCATCCTTACCATAGTAGCTGAATAGCTTACTCTGCAGAAAAAATCTATAACCCAGTTCAGACACTTATCCGACTCTACTTCCTAGATTCTGTTTAGACTCTTTGGATATAATATGATCTTTTTAAGACTTTTGTATTCTTGGCAAATAGGTAGACATACCAAACAAGCAAACAAACAAAAACCCAAACAAACAAAAAAATGTAAAAGCATCCTACTAGTGAAGCAATTTGCACCATAGAAGAGAGTAATTTCCAGAAGCCCAGACACAGGGACTGAGCAGCACTGGGGATCTATGTTAGCCTGCCTGGCCTGCACAGGGCATGAAGGAGAAGCTAATTCATTAGCTGGCAAGGGAGGGTGAGACCAGCACCTGCAATCAGTGCCCC